TTTTTCCATTACTGGTCACTGTTTTCAGTCGGACCTTTTTTAAACTAATTGTCTTGAAATTAAAACACTAATTTTGCTGTACTCTTTAAGTATTGTTGTTCTTAAAATTATAGAATGAGCTTGAACTGGCAGGAATAACATGGCACTACCTACTATCTTATTTTATTTGGCCACCCCATTTCCTTTTCTTTTATCAGGTGTTGCATGAATATATTAAATTTGTATATATTTCAAATTTTTCAACTTGTAACGCTTTACTTAAAAATTTGTTAATGATTGAAATAAGCCGTTGCTGTGTGTAAAATATAAACATTTAAAATGTTTTCCAATTAATTTGGATGTATTAGAATATCTTATAATGAACTATTAAAAGTCTTATGTCCATTGATGATTTATTGGTAATGTAAATTGTAAAGATTGTTTCATTATTGACAGTTTTCTTTTAATACTAAATGAAGTAGATTCATGATCGTAAATGATATTAATTTTTTTTTTATCAGCTCCCCTAGAGTATTTTTCATAATTCCAAAAATTAGAACTTAATGTAGATCTTAGTATAGTCATAGTTTTATCTTAACTCTCAATCAAAATAGTTTATTTAATATTAATCCTTATTTCAATTTAAATACAAAAATGAATAGTCTGCATGCTTAAATTTGTTAGGGAGATTACTATTTTGTCTTATTTTAGGCCTTAGATTGAATATTAAATCAATTGCTAAATATATTGTGTTAACAATTGTAAGTTAAAACTAAAAACTAAAAGCCAACCACAGACTTTATAAAGGAAAAAGTTACGTGGTTTTGGAACTCTTGAATTATATCAATAATTGCTAGTTTAAATATTCAAACAATCCATGTTATTAATATTTTACCTATTTTTGAATAAAATGAGTACCTAACTAAACTGCATATTTTTTTCAGTAAAAAATGCTTCATTTAGTTATCTGTGTAAACATAATGTATGAGATATTCTAGAGAAATCTTTTATTAATTTTGTTTTAAGTTATTAATAACTGTATAATTTTTAATTGTAGCTATGACTTATATTAAGATATGTTTATATTTATACAGTAAGTATGTTAATTTACAATTACTTTCAAATTCAATATCACAACACTACTACATGATCATCAATTGTCCATATTAGTCTAAACATGATCTATTATTCAGATACGAAATACTATTTCAACTTTTTCTGTAATCAAGAAAACTGTTTATTAATAATATTAATATATTATTTAGAATAACTATAATAACATGTTAAAAGACAAAAATAGTTTAAATCTAGAATAGTTAATAATATTATTGAAATAATTTTTATTTATTTATTTTTAGTAAACAGTACTTGTATAAAATAGTTGAATACATTTATGAAAATATTAGAATTGAATTAAACATTTATTAAATCACAAAACTGATGCTTAGTGTATACTCATTGTATTTAATCCAGGACAACATTTAATTATTTTAACACAACATTTTTAATATTTGATAATAAATATGGAATAATTAAATACATACATATTTATAGTACATAATAGGTGAATAGTATTCAAAGGATATTATAATGTTAATTATAATATTTTAAATTCGCATAGTATTTTAGTCACACAAAATAAAAATAGTATGGATTTTAAGCCACAAGGATATTTTAATTTTAAAACATTAGATATTGTTGAAAAAAATGATTCAATAATAAAACAATAGCGTGTAATATCTGGGAAATAAATGTAGATTTTTAATTGTCACAATATTATTGAATTATATTATATATACAAAAATTAACATATTACTTATAATACACACTATGGATCTTTATGACCATTTTCTTCTAATTTAACTAATCCTAATTTTTTAGCTTCAACTTCGTATACTAGAAGTCTCCACATTTTTACAACAAATACTTCAGCTTCTTCGTCAAGTACCATCTGGACATCATCGAGTATAGCCTGAGGACTGCTACCAGCTAACACTTTTGAACATATAAAATCTACTAGTGTTGGCTCTGGCTCACCAATATATTCAATAATTTTTTTATTTATCCAAGGTCTAATACGTTTTTCCATCAGTTGATTGTCAACTACACTCCAATCAAGATGAAATGAGAACAAGTCATCTTTATCAGTGGGAATGCGCTCAATTAATTGACGAATACTTTTTTTCTTTTCTTCGACAGCTTTACTTTCTTCTTCTTTTTTATCAGTGTAATCAAGAGGAACCAATTTTCTTTTTTTTGGCCTGGGCAGTTCTTCATCATCATTGTTAAATACATCTTTGACATCCATTCTTTTCTTAATCATCAAAGTGGTAGGTTGAGCCATAGGAGCAAATTCAGGTGGAGGTGTTTGAGATTCAACACTGGGAGGTGTAGCTGGCTGCTGCGGACTGGGTGTTAATGTCTTCTCCATCATATGTCTCTGGCGTTCTTGTTCAATTTCTATATTTTTCTGATTTTGAATTTCTTTTTCAATTTCCATTTCATAGCGCTTTAGTTTATCCTTTTGTTTTTCTGCAACATCTATTAATAATTTGGGCTTGTACATTTCTTCCCTGGCTTTTAAAACCTTGGCAAATTCTAATTCTGGATCTTTATGATCACTGTTATATATTTTATCTCGAATGGCTTCCAGTTCATCTTTCTCTTTTTGTCGATCCCTTCCATCTTCTTCTATTTCTTTTTCGCGCAATTCGATTCGTTTTTGCAAATCTCTACCTTTATAATACTTCTGATCATCTTTTTCATCATCGTAATCTTCTAAAAACTCTTTAAGTTTTTTGGCATTTCTTTCTCTTTCTTCTTCTATCATTTGTTTTTTAGCACGTTCTTTGGATAACTCTTTTTTTTTTTGATTTTCTCTGATTTCCCATTGTTTACGTTTTTCTTGATAAGCTATTTCTCTTTCTCTTCGTCTATCTTCTTCTTTTTTTAATTCCAGCTCTTCTTCTTCCATTTCTTTTTCTCGTAATCGATTTTTATCGTAGTGCCCTCTGCTTTTTTCTGGTTCTTTTTCTTTACGATTTTCTTTGTCAATACTTTTTTCTCTATCTTTTTTTTCTCGTTCTCTTTCTTTGTCTCTTCTTTCTTTTTTTTCCCTGTCACGTTTATCTCTTTCATCTCTTTCCCTTTCCCTTTCTCTTTTGTCTCTTTCTTCTTTTTCTTTATCTCTTTTATCTCGTTCTTCTCTGCGACGTATTCTTCTATTTTCTTCTGAATCTGGACTATCTGGAGTTGCATGTCTTCCATTTAGTTTTTCTTTTTCCTGTTTTTTTTTTCTTTCAACTTCTTTTTCTTCTTCTCGCTTTTTCATGACTTCTCGAAACTTGCCTATTTCTCGAAAAATTAAATTTTTCTTTTCATCTTCATTAGGCACCATATCAAATCCAACACCATCAACTATGCTTGGTTTGTCTTCTTCTTCATTTTGTTTACCTTCTTTGGTCATTTCATCGTTGTGCTCTGTAATTATACTATTTATTCTTTGTCTACAATATACTTCAAATTGTTGATTTTCTTCTGAATCATCAGTACCTTTTTTTTCTGCCTTAAATTGGTCTAATGTTTCTTGCGCTTTTGCATCTACTTTCACCACAAGTTTTTTACCACCTACCTCCATATCGTGTAAAACTTTGATGGCACGCAAGGCAGCTTCAGCTCCATAATATTCACAGAAACCAAATCCTTGTACTCTTTTCCATGAAGCAATATTTCCACAAGTTGCTAAAATGTGCCTAATCATAGTGTCAGGAGCTTTTTCAGAAATGTTTCCAACGAATACAGTAATCGGTGGTTCTGAAGGTGTTGGCTGGCGGAAATTTTTACGAGTAGCACGTGGATTAAAACGCGGAGGAGCAGAGACTACATGAGGTGTTACAGGTACAACTAATGGAGCTTGTTGCATTGGAGACCAAACCATAGACTGAGGCATTGGAACACTAGGCACAGTAGGAGTGAAAGGCATAACTAAATAATTTGGCGAAGTAGTTGGTAAAAATCCGGCAGAAGAAACAGAAGTATTCAAATTCGGATCATCCATAATAAGTGAAATAACTAATGCTAAAAATTAAACCAAACAATAATATTAATATTGATATAATTATTTTAAAGAATACTATAAAATACTACCATAATATATCTTACCAGTACTTCATGCGTGTAATCACCACGTAATATAACACAGAAAAATTTTTTTTACACAAATATTAAGTTAAAAGGTGCAAAATATGAAAAGCTGAATTAATTCGAAGCCTTCTAGTAGTCGTTTCACACTAATAGTACACAAGTATACAACTCTCACCTTAAGCAAATAAAACACACTTTTTAGAAGAAAGTAATTTTATGATAAAAGTATAAAACAAATTAAATTGTAAATTGATAAAGATGATAATGTTTGTTGTATTTATCAAGTTCTTTATTTCATGGAAGAGTAACTAAAGTCCACTTAATTTCAAACTGTATAATATTACTATTATTATATTATAATAAAAAGAATAAACTTATTTTATTTAATTTTAATGAATTTGAATTAGTTCTTACTTCCTTAATCATCTCAAAGTGATTTTTTATCATCCTGTAAATTGGAGTTATCACTACTAGACTGTATTACAATGATATTATGATTAATTTACATTAAAAAAAAAAATCCATTACATAAATATAATAATAAAATATGTATTATATTATATATACTTATAACAATTTTAGAAGATTAAATACCTTTTATTGAATAAATTATTATTAATATTATTTATATTAAAGACATTTTTTTTTTATCATTATTTTTCAATTACAAAAACAAATATTTTCACAAAATATTATACAGAATATTTATAAATTATATTAACAAAATTATAGAAGAAAAATAATATGTATTTATTAAAATATTGACAACATGGAATGTGAGAATAAAACAAAATTCTTAATATAGAAAAATTAGAAAATTTAAAAAAAAAGTAATTTTTAATTAATATTATTATTAAGTATTTATTATATTTACCTAATTAACAAATACATCCTTTAATGCTACCACATAACGTATGTCCACCGCAACCACCACATCCCCCACAACCACCGCAGCCAAATCCGTTGCCTCCATACCCACTACCGCCGCAGCCGCCACAGCCACCACAGCCTCCACAGCAGCAACAACCACCGCAGCCGCAACCACTACAACCACATCCTCCACCTCCACCGCCACCACACTTAACATTAACTGGTACAACGCAGGTCTAAAGAAAAAAAATATAGATAGACGTGGAAAATCAATGCATGACATCCAGTAGGAATTAAATAATTAATAAAATAAATGCAACATAAACTTACTTGAACAATGATTATGAAAACTAAGAGTAAAAGACTGATTAGAAAAACTTTAGACTTGGACATTTTACTTGAATAGCAGAAATTGTACACAAGAATATTTAATTATTTTAATATCAGTATACTGAACGTAAAATAAAAATATAATATTGCTCGTATTCAATATAATATATATATATCAGTCTAAAACAACGAATTAACATACATCTAAATAAAACGTTTTGTTTTAAATTTACACAGAATAAATATTATTATGCGGGTTATTATCATTTCTGCACGATTCAGTATTATGTTTTTAAAAACATAAAATATATTGTTATTTGATTTTGAGTTCGTGCTTCACATGTGCTACAATGTGTTATATATATTATTTTGTTAGAATTCAATATCAATTAAGTATTTCATGACTTTTTTTTTCAAAGAATAATATACAATTGTATCAGTCGACACAATAAGTATAGGTATAGGCTAAGAGTTAAAAAACACATGAGTATAATTTGATGAAAGAACCTACTTAGCGGTGACACTTTCTATTTAAGGATCTTAAATACGCATATTATATATATTGTAAAACATCTCAACACAACTTACATTTTAATCGTTTTAGGAGATTGCCGGGTATGGTAGCAGACGCTAATTTTTTAATTAGATAATTAGTACTTAGGAATTAATACCTAGAGGATTTGTGTGAGAAGTTATCCTGTCGTGAAACCTTTTGTAATAATGATTGGCTTCTTTATTTAACGTTTTTAGATTAAGATCTGTGTAAAGTGTGTAATTAAATACATAAAAAAAGGACATTTATTAGTTTTCTTAGAGCAATATTCTGAAAGGTTTAAAGTTTCTTTAAGTTTGACAGCTTTGCGTTTCCCTTAAGTTTAATTATAAATAGATTTGAGTAGAATTTTATACATAAAAAGTTTAACATTGAAAGAGAAGTATTTATTATCAAGTAAAAAGGTTTCGTTGATTATTTAAAATCAACCTTTTGGATTCAATATAAAAAGCACAAGCTAGTGTTTGAACTAAAGTGAGACTTTGGTACTTGATTACTAAAGAGTAGGTGATTGGGCTTCTATATAAGGTGACATTAGGAGTTGGGACTAGAGGATAGTCTGTGAGTAAAGTATATATGAATCGATTTGTTTGGATTAACTTTGAATTATAATTTTGTAAACCAGCTTTCCTATACGTTGTTTTGTAAATTCAATGAAGCAATGAAAAAGTTATCACTTATCGTTGATAAAAATTAACAACTTATCATCTGCATAATCATCCTCAAATATATAAAGAGTGTTGGGTTTGTCTGAAGCATACATTTTATAAAAAATAAGTGAGCGAATGCCTCGAAGAGGCTTGAAAAATACCAGAGTTTATGCAAAAGTGTAGAACCGGTACAAATTTGAAAATGTCGGTTTGAGAGTTGATAAGTAAGTAGTATGTTGAAGAAAAAAAGTTTTTAAGTTTAAATAACAAACCATTATTTCATAATACAAAATTACATTAGTATCTTAAAATGTAAGGTCATTTGAATTGTGAACAACAAAAATAGGAAGTGTATATAAAGACATATCTACTAGATGTTTAAACTATACCATTATAATATATTCCTATAATATAGTTTTTGTTTTGTTTTAATAATTTCTTTTCTATTTTGTAAATAACTTGTAACTGAAAAAATTTAAAATTTACAAATAACAAATATTTTTGTTTCATTACATATACATTAAATCATTAAGAAAATAATATTCAAGGTGAGACTAAAAATGGATCATTTTATTTGTCAGTACTTTTTATATGTACTCGAAAATTTTACTTTATAGTTTTCATAACATTAATTTATCTAAAATATATTTATAAATATTAAATACATCATGTAAAATATTATTACCGACGACAAAATTACTAAGGTATCGATACAAACTTTTTCCAATGAACCATCAAATGGTCAATCCTTGAAAGTATTGGAAAACCAAAAGAACTCCGAGGTTTATTAACTAAGCAATATTATAGTAAGGTTCTATGTCAGTCATTGACATGATAACATCTCGCAGTGATAGTGATTCAATTGAACCCGCGACGCCGTTTCGTTGCAACCGATCCTGAACGCACCTCCTACATATTTCCAATCACCATCGTTACAGCAGGTCTCTGAAAAACCTGACGAAAGACCGTCCAAACTGGGTATAGCGAGCCCTGTTGTCACCGGTCTGCCAGTAAGACGATGTTTTCCACTGCCAAACATTGTATTAAATGTGACACCTAAGACAATCAAAATAGAGTGCACTACGGTGCAAGTTTCAGTAGACATTTCCTTACCATAGCAACTGCTGGGACCGAGATTGTGGTATACTCTATACACTATTAAAAATAAACGTCGTTCCTTTTGGAAACGTACAAAAAAGTTTTTCCGCTGTATATTTTATTGAGCAGAACATAGCTGGTAGCATAAAATATACTTATTTTATAATAATATTATTATATGCAAGCTTCTGAAAATTGTGCTTGACGCAAATAAGAGTTTTTTTCTATGTTATTTAATTGGGTATTATTAAATGTATTATTATTATTATTATTATTATTATTAATCAACGCCAAAATACAATCGCTAAATTAATCTCTGCGGTTTTAGACTATATTATGTAGATACATTCGATATTTTTGTAACTGGTGTAATAAAAACTAATGAGGAAATTTGTTTATTGTTTTGTTTTATAAAACAATTAAATAATATGACTAATAATTAATAATTTAAAATTTGTATTGAATATTCAAACTTTTTAACAAAGGAACAAAAAATACTATGTAAAAAAATACAGCGAAATACGATGTGTACGATTTCCTTGTTAGGTTTTACTCGTATATGTTAGTGGTATGACAATAATTGTATACAATATATTATACTAAACTATTTTCAATGAATAAATATCCAATACCTCTCGAGTATTTAAGAATCTATAAGAATCTATAATATGATGGTCGTTAGATTAGTGTTTTTTTTTTCATGAATTTAAATTTTCATTTATAATAAATAACATTTTTTTAAAATTAATTTAATAATTTAAATTTTAGTAGTGTAAAATAATTATTTCTGATTAATTATATACAAGGATAAATAAAAAAAAATATGATTTATTTATCATTTTTAAATTCATAATAATGTTATTCTATCTAATACCTAGCTAATATTTATCATGCACTAAAATACAAAATATATTTTATACAAGTACACAAATATGTTGTTGAATAGTTTAAACATTTGTAATTATTACCACGTACCTACTTTGAACAATGTGCCCATTAATTAAAATTTACATTCATATGATAAATTCAAGGAACCCGGTTTATTTTAGCATCAATAATTAGCTTGATGGCTACATCCATAAGTAAGATTTAAGTTTGTAATACTTGTAATAGTGACCAAGCGGTTCGGCAGCGACACCAAATATAAGATTTACGATTATCGTACGCCATAGGATATAGGCATAGCAGCAGGCATTATGAAATTATATTAATTACTAATTAATAATTAATATAAATGGTAAAAGTTTATATATTAAAAACATATTGAACAATATAAATATTTTTTTCAAATAAAATATAATACACAATCTAGACTATTTGATACAATACAAGTATACACTACACACAAAATGTATAAAGATTAAAGACTAGATCTGAAAAATAATTTTAATGTAAGCAGTTATCGATTTACGGAGTTACGACACTTTTTTATATTGATATACAAAATATCTCTTGAATTAAAAATAATTAAGTTCATTTATTCTAGCAAAATAATAAGCAGGAACATTTTTTTTTTATACATTTTTACATCAAATTTTTATGGTTATAATGCATAAGTCATATTGATTATTAAATATTTATATATTCTTGATAATTTTCTCAAAATATATTATGATTCACAGCACATGAATTCAATTTCTATTTTCATAAATCCACAATAAAACTATATATTATATTGAAAGTAATTTATAAGTTCAGTTAAAATATTAAATAATAAATATAACAAAAACATAGTAGAATATATTACTGATTTTTATATTACTTTATTATAATTACTTATAAATTATATAATTGCAACATTAATTCAAAACTAATTATTATTTTTTGAACAATTTGTTCTTATTAATAAATATAATGCATTAAAGCTGAAGGGTCTATCTTTAATTCATTATAAAACTAGAATATAGTAAAAGTGTAACAAAAGTACTAATTTAATTAAATAAAACTTAACCTTATAAATGAATACTTTTAAACACAACAATAAAATATTATTATTATTTACTAATTACTAATGTTTTATTTGTTTTAAAATGAGTCTTTTTTTAAGAAAGATTTATACTAACTGCTGAAACTTAAATGCATTAAATTCTCTCTCATTCTGCAGTTGTTATCTTTTGTCGATTCAATTTAACTAAAACAAAATTATTTTATACATATTAATAATATTATAAAAGTATTTAACTCCCTAAATCACCGCTGTTATAACATTTATAAATCACAATTATTGTTTATGTAGTCTCACCAATTTGCATGGACACGGAGTGCACTTTTTGTATGTTTTGTCAATGATTCCACTAATAGAACCATAGTTTGGAACACGTCCGGGAACTGCGGGTACTTGTAACTGATATCCAAAATTTTTGAATGTTTCTTGACATGGCCCCGATGGACCGTCAGCAACATACGGATAAGACAATCTATATTGCAGTAGGAACAATAAATGAGTCATTAGAATCGGATAACAGTAAGTATTTTCTTTGGTGGTAATGTGCAATTAATCGATGTAATAATCCAGTATGATATGCATACTTTGCCGGTAATGGTTGAATATTAGGTGGAACTTGAACGTCATACGGAAATCTACCGCAATCACAAGAAGAACCAACGACGTTGTCAGCCGGTTGCCCCGACCTCAACAGAGAGTTTGTATCAGTATTTTGAGCACTGCAATAGGGATATGGGATATTTGTAGGACCAACCGAATTCTGGAAAACGATAATATTATTATAGACATAAACACATAGTAAATAATAATAATTAAAACTAGGTATTACTATTTTACGTTAAATTATAGATACCTGATAATTTTGATAGTTCATAGTGTTTATACAGGAACACGTTGGATTCGGGGAATTGTAAGAGTTATATTTAGAAAAACCACACATTGGACAAAAATACTAGAAAAAAAATATGCACGTTTGCATTCATTTTATTCTATTTTTTATTGAAGAAAATAAACTATAGGGTGATTTAGTAATGATTTAGTAATTATTGTTATTGTGTAAATACGTATAAACATCTGCATATCTAAGTATTTTGCTTTTCAGTAATAAAATACAATACACTCAATACAGGCATAATAATATTATATTTACTTATATAGTCCTTGAGATCGTTTTAAGTTAAAAAATAATATGCACCGTGAAACACGTATTTTTAAATTCAAACCAGATACAATTATGAGGAGTTCACGGATGAATAAACTTATATATATTATATGTGTGCTTAAATTTTTTCTATACATTTTTTTTTTTTTTTTTTTTTTGATACTTAGAAATATTGATTTATAAAGTAATTATGTTTTATATGAATATAATAAATTCAAATTATTTATTATTTTTTTTTTTGTTTATAGCAGAAGTACCTTTGTCAAGCTTAATACTATCTTTTTTCTAAATTTACCTCTACCAAAGTAGTAAGTAAACAAGTTTGTAAATTGAAAGTCTGTAACTATAATAGTTGTTAATTTTTAATTAGATAAATGAACATACACTTACCAATCTAGAAGATGATGCAACCATAATCTATAACAATAATATATTTATTTTAAATTTTAATTAAACTAATAACTAAAATGTATTAACTATATAATTTACAGAGTATAAACTTTGATGTTTGATCTTGAATTTTAATAAATATTCATAAATTACCTGTGTAGTAAAAAATACCATGACAGATATTTCTATAATACTGTAAATACGAACCATTTTCACACAATTCGGTTGTCAAAAATGTATTAAACAGATAAAAGTCAACTATCGTAATATGATTATTACTTATGATATATATATATATATATATTTGTTTCTATATTTAAGGCTATATTGTGGCCAAGGATTTGGAAAGATCGTTTGTTATTGTTTGTACTCATATTGTTATTGTTTAGTCGTTTTGTGTTTATAATAATGTGAATCCCAATAAATCTCAATTTTGTTTTAATTCAATAATAATTTATCATTAAAAAAAATATATATATATATCACGTATTTAAACATTTTTCCTTGGTTAATATTTTTATTTCATTTACCCAACTGATTATATGAACATTCAAAGAGAAATATATAACACAACTTCTACGTATATTTCCAAACATATTTTCAAACGTTTTCATATAATTAATGACGTACAAAAACAGAAACATGAAATTCTGGTGGTTTTTAATTCTAGTTGTATGTTCCATGTGGTTGAGTACTGGACATGGTGCTGTAATTGGTCAAGAACTTTGTAACTGCCAACCTACATTGGTAAGTATTATTATTTTTTAAGTTCTAAAGAAATAAGTCTAAGTACGTAATCTAACATAAACATATATTTGTTCTTTAGATTAGAACACCAAAAATATCAATTCCTAAACCTGGTCAACGTGTCATCTGTACTAAAATACCGGGCGCCCAAGAATACACACCGATTAAAAATGCTTGCACTTGTGTAAATACACGGGTAAGTGTACAGTACTGTCAGTACTGCATAATATGATGTGTATATAAATAAAGTAAACCGATAATAATCGTATATATAAATTTATAAATGTAGTAAAATTTATAAATAACTCAACGTTAAGATTTAAAAAGTTGAATTAATACCTACATTTCAAAATTCAATTCAAAGCTAATTTTTTTCTCCAGTGAAATTAAAGTATCAATAAATGCTAGTACGCTATTATTCAGAATTAAAGTACTTTTATAAAAATGAAATAAGTCTTTAGGATTTATCAAGGTTTCATATTACGTTAAACTAAATAATTATTAAGCATTATATTTAAACCAGAAATAATTTTAAAAAATTCTTTAAATATTTGAAATTTCTTATCAGTTTTATACTTAAATTTTAAAACCAGATTTAAGCAAATAAAACTAAAGTTATGTCATGAAAAAAATTCTTCACGTTGCAAGCGATACGCAAAAAACTTTTATCCTCGGGTGTTTCAGCAATAACAATTTTGCGTTTATTAATTCTAATTCTATTGCCTATTCCGATAATATTGTAATAAAACCTTCAGTGTCTATAAAAAAATGCCTAAAAAAATAGTGTTCCATATCATCAGGTGATGCCGGCTCCGGTGACTAGAGCGGATTGCAACTTAATGGCTCCTTATCCGGCTCAGGTAGAGAGCTGCAATGGCAATGGAATGGACGCGGGACTGCCACTGTTTGGTGAACGAGGTGGCGCGTTTTTCCCGGAAACGATGTGTGGGGCAGCTTCGCCGGTCGCCGGAAGTCCGGTGTTCCAAGACCCACCCGGCCCGAACGGCATAGACGAACCAGCAGCAGATCCCACCGGTAACGGGTGTTGTGGCAGTGGACCACCCGCGGCTATCGCGGTGGATCCAGTGTCGCTGATGCTGGCGCAGGCCGAGGCCAACCGGTGCCGGAATGACGTGCGCGAAGGACGTCTGGCGTTCGGGCAGATCGCCGTGCCAAGAGACGCGCTGCCGCCACCGCGAGCCGTGCCGGACGTCAACGAGGAGGGCCTCTATGCGCTGGACAAGGCCATCGTTGAGCTGAAGACATGCAAGTCACGGTTCGCAGACGAAGCGGCCGCGCTGGCGACGGAAGCTGACTCACTGCTGGCACTCGAGGACGACGCCTTGCGACCCGTGGACGATGCAGGACCAACAGTGACGTTGCCCAGTTACGCAGACGTTGGCTACCAGGCCGAAACGCCGTCCTGCTCGCCACTGGTGGTAGGTCCGCTCGCGAAACCCAGTGGCGGCACCACTTGCACCGTGAACGAGGACACCGGTGCGACGCCACCACCGACGGATCCTACTGCAGGATACTCGTCATCGGGATGCCGTTGCAGTAGCAATAAGCCGTCTTCGCAGCAGCAGTGCTCTTGCGGAAAGTGCTCGTGTAGTAAGTGCTCATCAAGCAAATGCTCGTGTGGCAAGTGCTCGTCTGGCAAATGCTGGCATTAAGCGGCTGCAACTGAATCGGCACGGCATTTCAATAATACTCATAATACAATAATTATTTTATTAAAACTTTGGTATATAGTATAATATGGACAATAAACCCAAACACAATAAATTATGAACTATGTATAGTCATATTACATGTACAATATTCTATATACACGTGTGACGTGTATATACTATATATATATATATATATATGTATATATGTATAGAACCAATGACCAATCAAGTTTTTCAGTGTATAACATTCGGAATTAACTCTGTTTACGATGACCGTGAACACCAGTCAATAAAAACGTAATGCACAACTGAAACAGTATAATAAGGCATAATAATAATAACAATAATAATATGTGAAATAAGGTATACCAAAGGTGTTTTTTTGTTGTTATAAAATATGTTTATGCGGAAATATATTATTATTTATCAAATATGATATCACTGCAGTTCACAGCAGTATATTATCAACATTTAGCTTACTGTTTTAAATAGGTAACCTAACCTAACCTAGACCGGGCAAGATCTGTTTGCCGAGCATGATGTTGACAACAACCTGCCTGTCTACACACCAGATACCCTGGGACTCGTGCAATCGCGCTGCACACATAAGCGTTTTAGACATAATTGTGTAAATAATAATAAATATTTTTCGATCTATGTTGCGATGAGCTAAGTACAAATAAAGATGTGTAATGAAACGACCTGTTGGGTTCATAATCATAAAATTACTAAATATAATATAGTGATTTCAAAGCTATTGTCTTAACGATAACACGGATAACACACGAACACGATCTGAAGATTTCGTGATTCGTGACGTTTAGAGAATAGGTTTAATAATTCGAATAAGACGTGTTTATATGTACTTTATACAAGTATCTCCGTTATGTCTAAACTTTAAACCATATGGTGTATATTTTTTTGACGCAGATAATTGTATACACTGTACAGTACGTCAGTACACAGGTATATCAATATGTAGGTCATAAATAATTATAAATACAAATAGCACATTAAACAAAGTGTTTTTACCAAATTTTTTAAATACGAAAACTTTGAACTATAAGTGTTTTTCACACGTTTTTCGTATTTTTTAAATATAATTTATTATTCAACGTAAAAATGAGATTTATTAATATAAAATCTTGATTAAGTATACTAGTATTTAAATTGTCTACTATAAAATTATGCAAAATTGGAAAACAATTAATTGTTGACTGAAAATGTTAGGTGGTCGACCTGATAACGTGGGTTAATATATAGACATATAGTATATACATGTATTTTTAATTAATACGAAAAGTGATGTAAGATATTTTATTTTTCATTCTTCAAAACGGTTCTAGTCATTAATAATTCGATCAATATAAAAAAATCACTGAAAATCATACACAATTAGAAAAAAAAGCAGCATTATATTCCACAATTACACATCATGCAGTTAGCTAGGAATTACTAAAAATATTAGACCACGAATTTTCGGTCAAATGAATTAGATCGCATAATTTTATTTCTCTCGGCTATTCGTTTAGTGTCATTTAAAACGAGTTAGTTCAAAAATTTAAAATTAAAACACGACAAAGACTATCAAATAAAAACGAATACATAATACACTCCCCTCCCCTATGGCAATAAATTAATAAATCAAGCATTTTACAAATGCTTTGCTACACGCCAATGTACCGATATTGCCTATACCTTGCGCCATTTAATACAACCTTTTGCATATTAATCAATAGTAAAACGCGCAATTCATAATTTTTACCTACTTCGGGAAAGACTATCATCGCTTATTAGCTGTACTAATGATAAATCATTACAATTTCCAATTCGTATTACACAATTTGTTCACACGCGTCACGTTCGTAGATCATATACTTTGTAATTTTTACATAGAGCACCTTTCATATAATTTTGAATGAATTATTTCGATATACGATTTATAGCTCTTGCACGGGTATCTGTTTACATGCCTGCTATCTATGCGGCTGTACTACTACTACCTACAGCAGTATGTTGTGTTTAGTAGCAGTAAATATTATTTTACAAAAAATATACGTAAACACGCATTGCCGCGAGTATTGCGTTTATTTCAAGCACCGAGGTCTGACACGTCATACGAAGCACAATAAACCGGCGGCGAGGCATTATCGTGTATCGTCTCGTTATTGTGTGAAATATAATATAACGTAATAATAACAATATAATGTACGCAGAGTAAATCATCGGTATATTATACGATATTATTTGGTACGGTTTTTTATGCCCGCGTCGAATCATACATAGTGCGCGTGAATGTATAACCTTTTTTTTTGACGATCGTGTTTTTGCGGAGATTAATCGGGAAAAAAAATCGTTGCCGGTAAACACACGACGTGCATCCTCCACACATATTGTAAGGTGTTCGTAAAAAAAAAAAAAAATAAAAAAATGAAATCCTGATAAAAAAAAAAACCTAAATAATAATAATACGTCCTGCGCAGCGTGTTGATATGAGTGACGGTGTACCTGGTGATCGACGGCGGTGGCGGCGGGGCAAGAGGGTACACGCGGAACCTCCCGGGCGGTCGTGATGCGCGTGTATAATATACGATGACGGGTCGAAAGATGTTCGAACGGCCGAGACGCACAACGCGCCGTTTGACGGTTTTGACTGCGCGCGAGACGAAAGATTTCGACTGTGCGGATTGCGCGCCGCACGACGACGTCGACCTTGATCGATCGACGATGACAATAGACGACGCTATTATAACAATATTACTGCCGACGACGACGACGACGACGACGACGACGGTGATCCTCACAAGTTGTGCGCACAGATTGCGTTGTACGGCGCACGTCGAGCGCCCGGCGCAGGCCGTATATAATGCGCCGTCCACGTTCGCGAGGCGCACTTTGTTGCGTTTACGCTGCACACCGACGATAAACGCGATGTTTGTACGCGCCAGTTCTGCCGCAGCAGCAGTCGCGATGATGAATACAATGACGGTGATGACGGCGATTACGGCGGCGGCCGCGGTGATGATGACGACGACCCCGACCGCGGGCGGTCCGGTGACCCTGGACAGCGTGGCCGTCAGGCTGGGACTGCCCGAGGGCCGGGGGCTGTCCGGAGTTTGCCTGTTCAGAAACGGGCCGGACAAGCGGCGCCGCGTCATGTTCAAATCGGTGGCGTCGGCGCGCAAGAAATACGGCGGCGGCGGCGGCGATTACATGGTGGCCGGCGACCTGGCCGCGGACCGGGTGTACGAGGGCACGTTCGCCCGGCTCGTCGACGGCGACCAGGTGGCGCGGTTCGGGTGCGACGGCGGTCGTCGGTTCGAGATAGCCACGCCGTTCGTGGTCCCGGAACCGGATCTGGACACCATTCTAGCGGTCAAGGACTCGATGGAACGGCGGTTCGGCGCCCAGCCGTCCCGCCGGGACCCGCACCGGTCGGTCACCGCGGAACACGTGTCCGTGACGCTGCGCGGTTTGCGGCCGTCGTCGGCTGAAATCGGGCTGGACGCCGTGGCCGCGATCACCGTAGACGTGTTCCAGCTGTACAACACGCGCCGCCGCCGCCGCCGCCACCGGCTGCGGAGAACGCGTGGACGCGCGGCACACCGAGGTCGGCGCTGTCCGTTACTCCGGCATGCCCATGCACGCTTCGTGCGCGCTCGGTGCCAGTCAGCGATCTCCACGTGCTGGCCGATCTGCCGCCGACCGATGATGGCCGTCAAGATCGCCATGCAGCCTGTTCCCGTGCAGCTGCTGCAACATCAGGCCGACCCGCGCGCAAACCGATCCGAAAACGTCATTTTCATATATACCGGTGGCCTCTATCCCCACGGCACTGCCAACCTGACGGACATGTTGGACGAACGCAGCGGCGGCGACAGCCGCGGAACGTACGCTGACGAGGTTGACGTGAACACCGCGGCCACATCGTTCCAAATCGACGCCAAGCAAGCTCACAGCGACTCCTACGGTAAGACGCCCGTCGGCAAACATGGTTTTTGGCCGATGAAATGGTTGCGACAAAGGCTGAGATTGAGGGGTGCTCGGGAGAGCTTAACCCCATCAAAATGATTGGATATTTTTCAAAGTATTAAATAGGTACCTATTTTGAAACTATGCAAAGAAAGATTTAAACCTCCCAACCCCCTAAAATTCAAACAAATATCCGCCTATGGGTTGTGAAGAGGGTCTGCTGAAACATATAACGAATTCGACTGGCTATAGCATTTAGTCGTCGTCCGACGGTTGTTGGTGGTTAAGATTTATTAAATTGTAGTTTTCGCAGTAGAGTTCAAGCGTGCGTCTCGTCGTTGAGTAGGTCTGCACTGTAGCGGATATACTATAACTTAGAATTCGCTGCAGATGAATCGTTGCGCATAATGTGCTAAAAACGGTTCCCAGTGGAAACGCACTTGACCGCTTAATACGCGTCGTATATTTCTAAGGATATCGTAATTTGCATTTTATTATATTTGCCATTAAAAATCATTATTTTTTTTCATTAGTAATATACGACTAATATTGAACTGATTTTTCCAAAAACAATGCATATATAAAATATTATAAAACGATAAAAATTGTGTAAATAAATTTGTATAAAGACCCGAAATGTATAAATTATTTAAAATTAATCGAGAAATTCGGAAAATTTAATTAAGTATAGAAAACGATAATTCAGCAAATACTTAGTGGAATGTTTCAAGTTTCTACGATGTCATTTTTCGGAATCGCTATGAAATAATGAAAATCGTTTGTGTAGAAATTTTTATCATGCCTTTGATATCCAAATATATCAAGATGTAATCTTCTAGTACTCGTAAAAATAATATGGCTTTGTGTTATACTTGTTTGGCTTTTTTAGATCCTGTTTTCCGGTTAATTAAAAAAATAATACTATAAATTAAATTTATATCTCCCTATCCGCCAAAAAATAACAATAAGTAAAAACTTGATTTAATTTTTAAAAGAAACCACCCTTAATATTAAATATATTGAATCTTTATTTTATGCGTCTTAAACAAAATAATTTTGAAATAATACAAGTAAACTCACTAAATTTTGGTCCATATACTCCTTTCATCTAAAATTATAATACTGTTA